CCCCTTCCCTTATTTTCTGTTCTAGGCCTTATGATTGCTAATAATATCACAACAGGCGAAACGCACTCTGAAGAATTTGAGGGTAAAGACAAGTCCCACTAACCAGGAGTATAAAATCACTGGATTGAGTGAGAAGAGTTGCAGAGAACAGACGTATGCTTCAATTTGCTTTTGTGTTTTTGGGTGACTTTAAACTGGACATATTTCCAGTCTCCCCCCCCCCCTGCCTGGTTTGGATTTAATGTAGTTGCTTTCTGTGAAACTTATAGGTTCACATTGAAGTCGAAGAACAAGGACGAAGAAGGTGAGGAAGTGACTGTCTATGACTACTTTGTCAAGCAACGCAATATTAATTTGCGGTATTCTGCTGATTTGCCATGCATTAATGTTGGGAAACCTAAACGCCCCACCTACATCCCGATTGAGGTGAACTGTCGATTTTATTTCACCTTTTGCTAAAAAATACTAATTTTTTTGCATGACCTTTTCCTTTCGGCTTGTATTAGTTATGCTCTTTGGTGTCATTACAACGTTACACAAAAGCTCTCTCAACCTTTCAAAGAGCATCCCTCGTGGAGAAATCACGTCAGAAACCGCAAGAGAGAATGTCTGTTTTGAGTAATGTATGATGCTTGCTTTCTCATAGTGCCTTTTTTATTTTTTTTTTTATTTTTACTTCTGCGTATTAATCTGCTTCTGTTTGTGGCAGGCTTTGAAAATCAACAATTATGACGCCGAGCCTATGCTAAGGTCTTGTGGCGTGTCCATTAACAACAACTTTACCCAGGTCGAAGGGCGTATTCTGCCAACTCCGAAGGTATTTATGTTTTGGGATATGTTTCAGAATTCTTGTAGTCCTGAACTTTTGTGATGGGATGAAAAGCTGTTGCTGACTTTATTACTTGGTGTTGCAGCTTAAAGTTGGTAATGGTGAAGATCTTTTTGCTCGAAACGGAAGGTGGAACTTCAACAACAAGGTTTGTTCGTAAAACTTCTACACTTGATTGTAGCTCGTGCTAAATGTCTGTTCCATATGTTTTATCTGAAATGTCCAATATATTTGCACAGAAACTTGTTGATGCTAGTAAGATTGAGAAATGGGCTGTTGTGAACTTCTCGGCTCGGTGTGATGTGCGTAACCTGGTCAGGGACTTGATGAAAGTTGGTCAAATGAAAGGAGTTGTAAGTTTTCGGACCTCTGTTCTTTATGTTTTTTGCATGTTTATAAAGTTGTAACTGCAAAAAATACTCTCCTGGAGTTTCAACTTAAATGCCCAACCATCACTCTGAAGTATTTACTACTAACGTTGATTTCGGTCTTCTCCCGATATTCAATGGTATACTATTCATTTTGTAAATTAAATGTACTTTTCATCATTAGGCTAGATTGTTGGGATAGTTTCTTTCTTTTAAAGTGAATTATGCTGATTTTCTCTATTACAGACTGTGGAAGATCCATTCGACGTATTTGAGGAGAGCCCTCAGTTCAGACGGGCTCCACCCATTGTTAGGGTGGAGAAAATGTTTGAGGAGATACAGTCAAAGCTTCCTGGTCCGCCTAAGTTTCTCCTGTGCTTGCTGCCAGAGCGGAAAAACTGCGATGTTTATGGTATTCGTAAAAATCAATAACAAATAACTCAACTTTAAGTAAAATTCAATCATGTTGACCTTTTCCATTAAAATTATTGTAAGGTCCCTGGAAGAGAAAGAACTTATCTGATTTTGGAGTTGTTACCCAGTGCCTGTCCCCTGGACGCGTAAATGACCAGTATTTGACCAATCTTCTACTGAAGATTAATGCTAAGGTTAGTGGATACCCCAAAAGTTAGACTGTCTTGCTTTATAATCTTCTTGATGTTATAATTTTTTTTTTTAATCTTGCAGCTGGGTGGTTTGAACTCCATGCTAGCTGGTGAGTTGTCCCCATCAATTCCTGTGATATCCAAGTGTCCCACCTTAATTCTAGGGATGGATGTGTCTCATGGCTCGCCGGGACAGTCTGATATTCCGTCTATTGCTGCAGTATGTGCTTTTTTGTATATCATAACTGGGACAGCAAATTATATTTCCCATTTGTAATTAGATTTTGTGTTAAGGAATTTTTAAATTATTCCTACGTAAATTCAAGCTGTGAGAGCATTAGTTTGGCTGCCACCCAGTTTTCTATTTTTGACTTCTTAGTGTTGCACTTGCTTTTGATTAATCGCTCAGGTTGTTAGCTCAAGGCAGTGGCCCTCTATTTCTCGCTATCGAGCTTGTGTCCGTACTCAGTCTCCGAAAGTCGAAATGATTGATTCCCTTTACAAGCGTGTGTCAGACACTGAAGATGAAGGCATTATGAGGTAGTATTTTTGGCTTTAAGCATGAGCTATCAAATAGAGTTGTGTTTTTACAACCTTTGGGCTCTGAAGTTCACCTATATTGTTTATTAAAGCATCATTTGTAATTTTCCATGAGATGGCTTATGGGAATATTGTCTTCTTTGGTTGTAGGGAACTTCTGCTTGATTTCTACACTAGTTCGCAGAAAAGAAAGCCCGACCAAATTATAATTTTCAGGTAGTGTTTGGAGCCAGTATTCTGAATATTTGTAATTGAGTTTTGGAGTTCGGACGGTATATTTTTTGCCGCTCTTGTGAGTTTGTTTTCCAATGTTTATAAGCACCCACTTTGTGAAATTTCAGAGATGGTGTCAGTGAATCCCAGTTCAATCAAGTGCTGAATGTCGAACTAAACCAGATAATAGAGGTTTTTGATCTGACTTATATATAGCTGTATGATAATCATGTTATGAGTTTATGATATTTACCTCATCATGGTTTTCTGTATTGAGCTAATTTCTTTGCCATTCTTGGGCAGGCATGCAAATTCCTTGATGAGAAGTGGTCACCCAAGTTTGTGGTCATCATTGCACAGAAGAATCACCACACAAAATTTTTCCAGCCAAACGCTCCTGAAAATGTGCTGCCAGGTTTTCACAAAAATTTCCCCTCATTTATACCCGGTTCAGTTTTGTCAATGACAACTATTGAAGGAGAGACAGGTAGAGACTGATTTTTCTCTTTCTGATTTTTTGGCAGGGACGATTATTGATAACAAGATTTGTCATCCCAAGAACAACGATTTCTACTTATGTGCACATGCTGGGATGATTGTAAGCCGTCTTTTGCTTGTTGATCTTGTTATGCTTTGCCTATCTCGGTTTTATCAAGATACTTTTGCTGATGAGTATTCATGTCAACCTGAATTGTATATTACAGGGTACTACCAGGCCAACCCATTATCATGTCCTGCTTGATGAGGTTGGTTTTGCCCCAGATGACCTGCAAGAACTTGTTCACTCCTTGTCGTACGTGTAAGTTGATCAAAACCAATTTTTCAGCTCATCTAGTTTAATTTAGTTTTCATTTATTTTTTTTTTATTTTTTTTTTTTCTGATTTCCTTTTTTTTTTGGCATTATATTTACTGCAGGTATCAGCGTAGCACCACTGCTATATCAGTTGGTAATTGCTTTCTTTTTGCTTACTTTTGTAAAATGTGCAGGTTTTTGCACTTACTCATTATATTTTTGCCTTGTAATCCTTTATTTATTTTTTTCCTTGTAAACAGTTGCCCCGATTTGCTATGCTCACCTGGCAGCCACCCAGTTGGGACAGTGGATGAAGTTCGAAGAGAAATCCGAAACATCCTCGAGCCACAATGGGACTGTGCCAGCTGTTGTCCCCATGCCCACGCTCAAGGAGAGCGTTCGCAACTCCATGTTTTTCTGTTAGGCGTATGGTTTTTAAGACTTGAAAAACTCTTTACTATTAGCATAACTCGTACCTAATGACCGGTTGTTTTTTTTTGTTAACTTATGTTTGGTGCCTGCTTTTGCGCATTGTCACCTATGTTTATATTATTATGGATGCTGTCGAGTGCAGAACCTTTGACCTGTGGTCTGTGCCTAGTAACTATCGGGTTAGCCTTCGTCGGCCGTTTTTGCTTTTTTGTTTTGCAAGGAAGCTAGGTCGGTGTTTGTGTTGGCTTGAATTTGGTTGCCTATTTGGGTTATAAGTTTATGATTTTCTACTTGGCTCTCATTTGGTTTGCTTTCAGTTGCTTTCAAGACGTTGGTTTTAGCAGAAATTCTATGGGCGCCATAAGCCATGCCACAATATGAGGTGGCATATGAAGTGGCTTTGTTAATTATATTATAATTTCCAACATGTCATATATGACATGGCTTTAAATATAATTTTTTATGATAAATACAATTAAGCAATCCTTTGTAATTAGGATTGCTCCTCTGTTCTGCTCATGTTCATAAATCTGATGTTTCCATAAGAATAAAACAATAATTGTGAAAGAAATCGACAAAAATATTGAGAATCAAATGTTCTCCACGCCAGTCTGGACCCACTGTGCACCTACTCCGCACACGACCGGCGGCAATCTGCACCCACTCCACGCATGCGCCAATATCGACTCAGGAAAAGGACGACTACGGGGAAAGGTATTGTGAGAGCTTCCTCCTAGGAGGTTTAGGGGCTGATTTGATCAAATATATTCATAGATGCACAAAAAATAAAAAATAAAAAATCCGTATGCCAGACTTTGAGAGTATTCATTCAGTACAAAAAATTGATATGGTGGTGCAAGAAAAACGTGAAGCAATCACTATTGTGGTAATTTACATAACAGAACTAGTGTGTTGATGATATGCTAATTTGAGATAAACTTGAAGCAAGAACTAATGTGCTAATTTGCATAACAGAACTACAGTAGAGATCATATGAATCGAGTTGATTTAATCCTATTTTTATATTATTATTTTTTATTTAATCATTTTTTATTATTATTATTTTTATTATTATTATTATTATTTTTTTTCACTCAGCTTGTCTAATGTCGATGCAAAAGTGTGTGACACACTCCATAATTGGGGATGAAAATGTTGAAGATACTAGACCGTAAATTTATGGAATTGGACTTAAAAAAGCCATTCAGGATCAACTTAACACAAGTTCATCGGGTAAGTCACAATTATATATTCATCAATTTAATAACTTGGAACAAATTGTAATGACTTTATTTTTCATATCTAATTACAGACGGCAGTGAAGCCGATGGTGATTATATTCCACAGGTTGCATTAGCATCAATTCCTCATGAAAATCAGAGTTTTCAAACATTGGATGAAGCTAAAGACTTCTATATTGCTTATTCCAAATAAGCTGGTTTTAGCGTCAGAGAAAGAAATGACAGGAAAAATCACAATCAAGAAGTCATATGGAAATTGTTCGTCTGTTATAAGGAAGGAACGAAGAATATGAGATATCAAGAAAAAATTAAGCATGTTGTTCAACGAACTGGAGAACGGGAAAGAGGAGATGTCAGATGCAATTGTTTGGCTAGGATGACTGTAAGCTGGAAAAAAGATGAACAACTTTGGAGAGTTTTAAAATTTAATGAGAAACACAATCATCCTCTTACCAGTCCGAGCAAGGTACACGCTTTAAGAGTCTCACCTGCAATAAGGTCCCTTGCTGTCGAGTTTAGAAATGCCAATTTGAGAACATCTGATCTCCGGAGGGTACTAGAAAGTGATGCCGGGGTCTCGATAAAATGGGTTGTCTAGAAAAAGACTTATACAACAACGCTTCAAAATTACAGAATGTGGTCACTGGACATGATGCTGAAACGTTAATTGGCCACTTTGAGACGGAGAAGGCAACATGTGAGTCTTTCTATTTTGCTTATGAAACCCGTGAGTCTAGTAATATATTTGATCGTTGTTACTGGTGTGATGCGCATGCAAGATATTCTTATGATTGTTTTTCAGAGGTGGTGGTATTTGACTCGACATTTGGCACCAACAAATATGGAATGTTTTTTTGCCCCTTTGTTGGAGTGCATAATCATAACCAGACTATAGTTTTTGGCTGTGGTCTATTGAGTAACCACCGAACCGAATCATTTTCTTGGTTATTTTCTCAGTTTCTCAATTCGATGTCAGAAAAACGTCAACCGGGAATGTTTATAACTGACCAAGATGCGGCTATTGCGGCGGCAGTTCATGAGGTATTTCCAGACACTGTGCACAGACTTTGCTTGTGGCACATACTTTCCAAGTTTCCAGAGAAAATAAATATCTCTATGCATGGAGATGACAAAACCAAATTGGTGCATGCTATCATGGACTCGGATGATCCCGAGGAGTTTTAGTTCCGTTGGTCAGAGTTGATGAGTACTACCTCTTTGAGTCAAAATAAATGGGTCAACGATATGTACACTATTCAGCCAATGTGGATCCCTGCATATTTGAAAAATATTTTCTCAGCAGGAATGTCGTCCTCACAACGTGCTGAAAGCAATCACTCGTTTTTTAAGAAATATTTGAGTCGTGATTGTTCACTCAATGATGTGTTTACACGGTTTAGGAATGCAATTTCGAGTCAAAGGCATAAAACTTTATTGCTAGACCATGCCGACAAAAATGAGAAACCGTTGTTGGATTCTACACAACCCATGGAGCGTCAGCTGTCGACAAGGTATACGAGGACAATATTTAAAAAGTTTCAAAAACAGTTGAAGGTTTTGCCAGAGTATATCAGTAAACCCGTTGAGAAAAACGATGTAGTCTGTGTTCATGAAGTTTTCCCATTTAGTGGATCGAAGTTGAAGGATAAAACTTATCGGGTGGCACAAAATGTTTCCACGAACTTTCTTTCATGTAGTTGTCGGAAATTCAATGATATGGGGATTCCTTGTAGGCACATGCTATATATGATGCAGGTAATCGTTTTTGTCAATTTATAGTATGTGCTAATTTACAAACACAATTTTATATAAATTTCCTTTTATTTTATGTTATTTTTTATACAGGTATTGCAAATCAAGTTGTTGCCCGAAGAATATATTTTGTCTCGTTGGACACAAAAGGTATAATCACCAGTTTCTTTTCAAACGGTGACTTGTCCACTTACCCAAGCACGAGGATATTTAGAGCGTAGCCGAGGGTTGTCTGAGAAGTGGAAATGGCTGATCGAAAAGGCTGCTTTGACCGAGAAGTCTACTATAATGTTACATCAAATGTTTGAAGAAGCAGAAAAAAAAAATAAAAGAGGATGAAGTTGTGACCCATATTGATACACAAGAGTCATTCCTTGGAAAAGAGCACAAAGGTGAGGGTTTTGTAAGTGATCCAACAACTAATCGTGTAGTCCATGGCCGCAAGCGATTACTAAGTATGCGAGATAAGGCAATTAAAAGTGGAGGCAAGCATTGTCGCAATTGCGGCAAAGTTGGTCATAACGCTCGTACATGTCCTGAAATTAAAGGCAAAGACAGGTAATCTAATATTCCCAATCCTTTAAAAGAAATTTATTTTAATTTTTATTCTTGTATCGCCTTTTGTAAATCTTGTAGAACTGCTGATGAAGTTGAGCCGTATCGCCCGTCACCTTTATCAAATAATATCATAGTTGAGGACAATCAACAAATGGCGGTTCGAGATATGATCGACATTGTGGATGAGGGATATGATTATACAAGCATTTGGCGTTAATTAAGTTTTAACTTATAATTCTATTTTTGTGAACAATATAAATCGCAGTATTTATTTTTCAGATATTGACTGATGGATTTTTTTTTAAAGAGGCTTTTTTTTGTTCTATGATGATATGTTGATCATTGTTTCGAATTATATCAAAATTTGTTAAAAGCTTTTATCTGAAATGCATGCTAGCGACATGCATACGCTTGTGTTTGGTTAACTTGCTGCTTTATTTGAGAATTGAGATTGAAAAAAAGTTATAATTCAACTATGTGAAGAGTTTATGCAAGCTGAATGAATTGGAGAGGGGTTTTGAATTTTTGTATCTGTTTTAGATTTTCACTAATTTGTAATGCATCTTCATGTGGTCTCACTTTTCAGTTTCTAGATTTTTTGTTAAAGGAAAATAATAATATGATCTTATTTTGCAAGAACTGTTAATACAGATTGCAAAAGTTTACACAGGTTGTGATATTGGTACCTAGACAGGTATAGGGATCAAACATTAAATCTGGTATATAAAAAATAGTTAGATCATTGTCTTGTAACTTTACAGTGGCAAACATAAAAGAAGTATTAAAGCAATTGATCCCACATAACTAACTATGATGTGGTTTTGTAATCATCATGTTAAACTTGATATAATGTGACCAATGAAATATTAAAATTTACAAAGATTTCTCTACTCCCAATGGCAAAACATTATTATAATGGTAAATTCACCAAAGCTTCAAATTTCAGTAAAACAAAATTTAAAAAGAATATTTAAGATGACAATAAAATAACCATATTCTTAACATACATACAACCTGGCTCATGTTCTCTCTAATTTACAGATTATTTTACAGCTTGGATGATTTGTTGGTACAACCCAGGATGGTGCATTAGTATTCTTGTGATTCCTATTTCCTCATGTAGCAACTCACCAAGCAGAAAACCAAGAAGATGCTAGAAAAAATACCATTGCAATTCATATAACCAATCTTGTACAAAAATAAGGAAGTTTACAACGAAACCCAGACAAATAAAAAAATCTACATCATACACCTCTCAAATTTCTCACATCAACAAACCTTGATTTTCTTAAACAATCCCACAATCTCCTTCAATTCATCCCCCCACACTCATTTACAGTCACCAAGCAAACCACCATACCAGCACGGGTAAAGGGCCAACTTGGGTACAACCCGAGCCCGAGATCAAATACCCCATCAAATAATGGCAAATTGTGGGGAT